TTTTTTTTTTTTTTTTTTTTTTTTTTTTTTTTTTTTTTTTTTTTTGCTGCTATTATTTATAATGGATTATTCAATTTGAAACATTTTATTATTTCTTTTCTAAGTGTTTTTAAGTTTTTATACGGTTAAGATAGTAATTAATTTATTAATTATTTATTAAATTATCTTTACGGACAAAATTTTTATTTTATAGTAATTTAAATATAGTTAAAACGGTTATTAAGTGTACTTTAAAAAAAAATACTTGTAGAAATAATATTTCTTAAACTTTTAATATATATATATATATATTAAACATATTCTTTAAACTTTAAAAAAAATTTTAAAAACTTTTAAAAGTATCATAATATTTAAAAAAAATTTAAAAGATAAAAAACTTTTATCATTAATACCAATTTAAAATATATATTTATGAATTTTCGATGAATGGTTTTCGTCCATATATTGATATTAATATTTTTGTTAACTTTTTTTTTATAAATATAAAAAGTGTTAATGCTATTTTTAAAATTTAATTGGTGATTTTTAAATCTAGTCAATGGTTAGAAATTTTTGTCAGTTCAAGAGTATTTTTGAAACACAGTTAAAAATATTTTTTTAATAATAAATTACTAGGGATAATTATATATATATTTTTTAGAGGTATTTTTAAATTAAAGGGTATTATTGAACTTTTAGAGTAGATATTTTTTTTTATTAATTTTTATAACAAAATTTGCTTCAAATATCTCGTAATTTCATGATTTGTTACAAGGGTATTTTAGTCCATTCAATTATAGGGTTGGCTTAATTTTTCTTGTAGTGGAAATTTAATTTTAAAAAATGTTTGTTATTTTCAAAATTATGGGGACGAATCTAATGATTTTGTTGTCATTTTAATCAACTAATTATTTAATTATATTAACTAGTCCATAATTTATATTTTTAATTATTTAATAAAATATCTGATATTAGAAGCTTTTGCACTGTGATAAGAAGCTTGTAGCATCATATTAATTATTTAATTATTTAATAAAATATCTGATATTAGAAGCCCAAACAAAGTGTTTAACGAAGGCCCAATAGAGCTCATCAATTACCAAGGCCCAATATAATCATCAACTGCGAAGGCCCAAGCCCATAAAATCAAGCGTCGGCGTCGAATTTCTCGAACCCAGTCGAACTAACATCCAGGTGGCACCCGGCAGCCTGCCGATGCAATTCCCTCCACCGCATAGAACCGCACAACGTCATCAACTGGCGCGTCAAGAACAAGCGCCACCGTGAGTCATCACTTTGTCCTTCACTCGAGTCATCAAGGCCCAGAAACCATTAATTGATTCACTAATTCTCAAGTCCGGAGAGGTACTTCTCAGAGGTTTTCCGGTGGAAGCGGCATCCGACTGCAACAACGTCGTGGAGGCCGTTGGTTACGATGAGGCGCAGCTCCTCGAACGATGGGCGTTGGTCGGGTTTTCACGGCCAACGGATCCCCGCCGGACCGGCAGATCCCTTTTCACCACGAATTGGCCCAGGTACTCATTGTACTCTGTCCCACATTTTTGGGCCTTTTGATTTTAGGGACTTCTAGATCTTTCTGATTAATATCGATGAATGGAAATTGATTACTTAGTAGCATCGTTTAATTTGTAGCTCTGAATTAACAATGTAATTAAGGGGTTTGATCTCTGAAATGACTTGGGTGGTTCGGTCGAAGTAGAATCTACTCTACCACTTTGTTGGCTAATAATAGCCTTTGAAGTTCCATAGATACTCGAATTTTAAGAAGGATAATCGTGGATTGATCCTGTGTTTCGCTTGGTGATGCCTGAAAGTGAACGGGGTTGTGGATTTTGTATGTTTCAGGTGCCTCAATTCCCCGCCAAGACGTTTTTCTATTGTGAAGTATAGAGCCTAGAAGTGGTGGAGAAACACCCATTGTTCTCAGTCGTGTTGTTTATGAGAGACTGAAAGAGAAATATCCAGAATTTGTTGAGAGGTTGGATGAACAGGCCATGGTTGGAAAGCTCGTAATCATACCCAACGCCCCCACCATGGGGAGAGGAAAAAAAAGGGTAGGTTACCAAAATTATCCATGAATTCTATCCTTTCTTTCAAAGCTCTCTCAATTATTTTTCCATGAATGTTTCAGAACTGTTATAGAAATAGAAATTCTTTAGAATTTTCAATGGTAGTTAGGACATTGAACAATGCGGCGGTTACTTACAATGATGAAATGATCAAAATTTTCATTATAGGTCATTACCATAAGATCTAGATCCCAATTTCCATCTTAAATTTTAAAAGACTTTTGCTGTAAAGGTAGTTTTGGACACGTTCATCATCAAAGGTAATATTACAACTTTTGAAAGAACGAGTATTTCAAATTCGGAACAACCCAAATGAGTTTTGTTTAATAGATAACGTCCTTAGACCTGGTTGGTGAATGCGCTTGAACATGGACTATGAACAATTGGTCTTACTAGAACCTACATGTTGTTCTCTTATATCAAACATTTTTGCACCTAACCTTTTCTCTCTACTGTCGTGTGTGTTCTATCATATATTAGTTCAAAATGCTTTGTTTACAGTTTGAACAAGAACTTTACTTAACAAGTCGGTTTAACAAATCTAAACTTTCTCCAGGGAAACTAAATTGGAGTGAAAACAGTGATGGGTCCAATCCCAGCTATCAAGTATGATGAAGTACGACAGCGCGAAATTTGGTTTAACAGAATGGTTGCAGCTTACGCCGGCTGGGAAGATGCGAGGAATGTCCTGCGAAGGCCATAACGTTACGGGACGGTACGCCATTGCCAGCTGATATCATCAATGGCTGCTTGAGAATTCTGGAACAGGAGTCTCTTTCCATTCCCTGGCAGAAAGGTGATGTTTTGCTGATAGACAATTGGGTTGTCCTTCACTCTCGTAGGCCATTCCTCCCTTCCTGCTAAATGCTAGCTTCACTTTGCAGGTAAACCCATCACGAAGTCTTAAAACTCAAGGAAATTCATGTAGGACCAAGATTATGGCAGTTCTGAAGCAGATGATTGATTCATTGAGACATCAACTGAAATCCAATTAATGTTGTCATTGAAGGTACCCATGCTTTCTCTTTCTCTCTCATGTAGTATAAACAAAGCATTCATTGAAACTGTGCTAGTGTTGATAATATGTAACTGCCTTGGGTTTTCTTCAGTTAACTATAGGGGATTTAGATGATGAGTAGTGGTTTGTGCTTGTTGAATAACACTGAAAACATGGAATACAATCTCATTTTCTATCACGGGTTCGTTTTGTTCTAAAGCAACTTTCCTAGCTACTTGCTCTAAAGCAGCAAGAAGACAAATGTGAGATCTCACGTCAGTTGGAGAGGAGAATGAAACATTTTTTATAAAGGTGTAGAAACCTCTCCCTAGCAAGCGCGTTGTAGAAACCTTGAGGTCCCAAAAGGGAAAGCCCAAATAAGATAATATTTGCTAGCGGTAGGCTTGAGCTGTTACAAATGGTATCGGAGCCAGACACCGGACAATGTGCCATAAATGAAGCTGAGCCCCGAAGAGGTTGGACACTAGGTGGTGTGCCAGCAAGGACGCTGGGCCCCGAAGAGGGGTGGATTGGGGGGGTCCCGAAGAGGGGTGTGCCAGCGAGGACGCTGGGGCCTAAAGAGGGAGTAGATTGTGAGATTCCACATCAGTTAAGGAGGAGAACGAAACATTCTTTATAAGGGTGTGTAAACCTCTCCCTAACAGACGCATTTTAAAAACCTTGAGAAAGAATTCCAATATGGGAAGTTCAAAAAGGACAAATCGGCTAGTACTGGGCTTGGGCTATTACAACGAAACTATCCCAGTTTTTTGTTTTCGTTTTCAAATCCTTGTTCCGAGATGACAAACCAACTAGTCTCGAAATTTGCTTGCATCTAAATGACTTAACCAAGATCTCCAAATTCTTCTTGATCTTTGTGGTTTTTGTGGTTTGGTTGGTTGTAGCCCTTTTTAGACTATGGATAGATGGATTTAGTCAAAGAAAACAATAGAACATAATACGCAGAATTCAACCGCCCCCACCACTGCACCATGACTTACGCCACTTTACCACTACCATCAAAACGTTCACATATGATGTTCTCTTTGACTTAATACCAAAACACTCGTCTTTAAAATATTCCTTACAACTTTGAGCCATGAGAGAGAAAAGGAGAGTGCATTTTTTTCCATATAAAACAAATTACATCTATTAGGCGTTCATCTTTAATGTAATTAATATAAACATGAAAGAAGCATCTTTCTTTTATCTTTTACATCGTTGTTGATGGCTTCTTTGAGTTGCATGTACGTGAATTTGATAAATGCACTTTTTGAAGACACTTTGACCCACCATTCACCACTATTGCCATTTTCATTAAAGCTAAATGCAATTCCATGCATGTTTTAGGTACTAAATATCGATCCCATCTAATCAATACTTGTTCCCATAAATGGATTCCTGAAACTATAATGAGTTCTGTTAATTCTTCAAAAATAGGGGATGAAATAAAGCTCGTCTAGTTGTTCAAGCCTTAGCCTAAAGCGCGTCGAGGTCAATGTTGAACATTGTCAAAGCTGACCCCTGCCAGACATGATCTTGACCATCTAGGCGACTTAGTTAGAAAACAATAAGGTAAATGCAAGCTCACATGGTACAAATCGTTAAATACTGTAGGAAAGCTCTGACACACCTTCCCGTGTGGAAGACGATGGACATTTCTTCATAAGTAAGCTTGTTCTAATTCAAATTCAAACGGAGTACTAACTTAAACTTTAAAGGGTAGGTGGTCGTGGACAAATACAAACCAATTAGAGCTACCTTTGAACGCCTCAAATTGCACGTCAACCATGGGAACATTTCTTTTCCAACAAAACGTTGTTATGGTTGAAAATGGAGACTTAAATAGATGAACTATGATTATAAGTTAGAAGACGATTATTGAAGGAAGCATCAAGTCTTGGCTGAGCTCACATATTCTGCAACAGCTTTGACAAAGGATTTTTTTAACCCATTCCACATCCTTTTGTCAAATTTAATGATAACAGATTGAAATTTTTTTTTGGGTTTCTTTTTATGGTTTGATTCCCACTCTATGCCCATAACACACTTCATTTTCCAACAATGCTCTCCTTCTTCCATTCTCATGACTTTGAAAGCGTCGGTCTGGTCCAACCACTAGCCTTTTTTTTTTTTTAAGGTCGTCGAAGAGTTATCTTTTTTTAACAAATGTGAAAGTGAAAGATTGAACGATTGCCCTTGAAATGGTAACTAACGTCTTATCAATTGAGATATATGTTCGTTTGGAATTCTATGTTTATTTGTAAACTAAGTTTATAAATTCTCGTTTCACCTATAAATATCTCTCTTTTGTTGTTTACTTTTAAAAGTGCATTCATAATTTAAGTTAAAGTTCGAAACACGTACAACTTACAAAGACAATACATCTGATCGTTATCAAACGAGACCGAAGAATTTGTTCCAGTGATTCAATTCTAATTGTAGGTACAACACAAAAAGAAACTCAACGGAGAATCATTTTACAAAATATTCAAAGATGGATTATAAAAGTTACTCTAAGACCTGATTGATAAAGAAACCTATTTGAATTCTAAATCAAATTCTAAAAACAAAGAAGGTTTATTTAGCGTTCAATATATATGTTCGGCTTTTGAAATCATTGGTAGAAAGTTGATAACAAAACGAAGAAACTTATAAGTTGTTAACAAACGTTGCTCGAATCCTCACTCCACATTCTAGAACTGAAAAGCTTGTTCAAACGATAAAAATGAAACTGAATCGTTTCTCAAACATGATGGAGAAGAAGTATTTTGGTGTGATAATTTGATCAACAAATGCAAAATACAGAAAGAAAGAAAGAAAGACAGGAACTTCTATAATAAATGCAATAAGCTTTTGTTCATAAGCTGCTTGAAAGCCTCATCATAATGGCTCATAAAAGCATCAAAAAACAACACAAACACAGAGAAAAAGGAACAAACTTTGGGATTCTAAACCTCATTTATTGTCATTCCCAGTTAACAACTCATTAATTTGTATAAGAAACTCACCTTTTTGTGTGTTGATGATGTTAATTATACTGAAACACAGCGTTTTAAGTGCCTGGCTTTGCCCTGTGTGCCTCACCATTCCCTTTGTCTACATGTTTCACAAGTCAGCCAAATTGAGCTCTGAACTGAGAGAAACAAAAAACACCCATTTTCAGAGGAGGAGCAGCGGCGGCGACCGTGGCGGAGGCGGCAGCCGAAGAAGAAGAAGAACTACGGTGTTCCTTGTAGAGCTGAATTTGAAGAAGATTTACATGCTGTGTGCTGCTGAGAAAAGTGGTTCCTGATGGCAACAATTTATAATGAAATTAGTGGAAGTTGCAATATGGGAATTTGACTGAGACTCAATTTGAAGGTGATGATGATCAAATAATGAAGAAAAAAGGTCTGTTTGGTGAAGAAGAAGATGAAGAAGAAGAATATTGATGGGGTTCTGAGTTTGGCAATACCAATATATAAGTGTGTTAAGCATTTGTGCAATTAAAATAAGCAATAGTTTGACACTTAAAAAAAGAAAAATCGGAAATCTTTCAATCTCGATGACCTAATAGTAGGGAAGCCGAAGTTCTTGCTCTAAGACCAAGACGTGTTTAGAAGAATGGACAAGCATTTCTATATAGAGCGAAGGGGAAGCTTGTAGAGTTTTCTCGACGTTTTAGAAGGGAGACGGGACTTTTGTTTCAAACCATCTCGAGGGTGTTTCACAGACACAAAACTCGAGCTTTAAGACTAAACTTATAATTTAACAAAAAATGCTAAAAACCATATTATAAAATAAAAAAATCGAGATAGGAGACGTTAAAAACTAAAACAGATATTCGGTTGTGTGGATAGTGGGTAATGAAAGGTGATGCGACCAAAAATTCAACTAGAAACTCATGGCTAAATGGACTAAATTACTGAAACAAGGGAGGAGGTGAGGAATTTGGAGCACTTCCACTAGGAATTTTATTTAATTTTTGGAAAGATAGAACTCTGTCGGTCAAAATTTCATTGATATATGAAGGCCTCTCAATCGCTTTCACTATGTCTCAGCGTTTGCTTCAGATATTAAGATTACACTAATTAAGTTTTTCAACAAATCATTATTGCCCCACTATTCTTTCTTATTATATTGTCTTTTATTTCCTTTTTTGTTCTTTTCCAATTAAACATTAGATTCTCTCTTTCCAATTCAAATAATGAAATCCAATTAGAGCACCATTGATGAATCTTGTAAGCTTAAAGAGAGAGAGAGAGCAGAGAGATTACAATCAGTAGTTTCTGTATTGACACAAATAGCTGGTAGATTACAATCATTTTAAATCATTTTAATCCAATTAGAACAACACCATTGATGAATCTTTTAAGCATCACATATATCTTAGGATTGTTTCAAGCAGAAAGAGAAAACAAGAACATAGCAGAAAAGAAAAAACCTGCAGAGAGAGAGAGAGAGAGAGAGAGAGAGAGAGAAGAGCAGAGGGAGCAGAGAGATTACAATCAATAGTTTCTATATTAACACAAATAGCTGGTAGATTACAATCAATGGTGGAGAAACACCAAAGCCAAGAGTAGTTTGATCATAAATCTAAAAACTCAATCCCAATTTACTCCTAACAGAGATCAAAAAAGAAACAAAGAAAAAGGCATAAACACAAGACACCTCTCTCTCTCTCTCTCTCTCTCTTCCCCCCACCATAATTAACAGAAGGGCTGATGGATATATAACAGATGACTAAAGAGGTGGGGATGATGATGATGATGATGATGATGATGATGAAGAGGTAGCACTCAACTCACCAGCCAAAAGCAATGCATATTAGCGAGAACCCCAACAAGCAGGCAGCCAAGGGAGCCTGCCTGCCTTTGATGAGGCTCTTGAAGAACAACGGTTATGTGTTATGAAGTCATCATAAGTGCAAGCAACTATTATCATATCAGTGTACACAAAGGACTTTTTTTTACTTTGTGAATACTAATTTATCTGGTGGTGCATTTGTAGGTATAAAGAATGTAGGCACTTGCAAAAAGACTAGAGAACGACACGCCAAATAACACTTACCCCGAATGGACCGCCTTTCTTTCGTTCGTTCCTTCCTTCTTGTTTTTATGTTTTCTTTGGCCAACCGCCTTTCTTTCATTCGTTGGTTCCTTCCTTCTTTTCTTTATTTTTATGTTTTCTTTGGCCAATACGGATTGATTCATGGTGGGATGGATCGGGCTCTTACTCATCCCTCTCTCTCTCAAGCTATTGAGGCCATACTCAACCTGGTAAAAAGATGGAAAACGCGCAAAAAACAAGGAAGAGCAGCATAAAGACAAGACGAAATATAAGCAGAGCTCTGAAGCAGCAGCATCGAATCGTTCTTTAAAAGGAAACGTGCCTTATCACCGGGTTCTGGATGGTTTTAGACTGAACTCCACCTCCAGGATTTAATGCCATCTCAAGCACAGCATTTGGCTTCACATGTCAAACCAGAAGAAAACAAAAACATGTAAAAGGTATTAGAGAAAAGGATCATCAATCAAATCAAATGTGACCAATAAAAGGTATGAAAATCCTCACCTCTGGCTCCATATGCATGCTATCTCCATTTACACTGCTATTCTCCAACTGAAGTTCGGAATCTGCCTCGCACGAATCAACAACCGGTGTTCCTGGATTGTTACATTCATCGGCGCTTCTTTCTATGCTCCCAACATTGCCTTCACTACTACCTGCTGCTGATGTGAACCCAACATTCTCGCAGGAACTGTTTTCACTTGCTAAGGTAGTGATCACACTGGAATTAGACGCACATCTGCGATCGATTTCTGTACAAGGAACTTTGTCTGGTTCAAATATCTCTGCAGTAGACCCTTTATCACTCTCTACACTTCTAGATTCTCTCCCTGAAGAACTGCTACCAATACTAGAGCCACGAAAAGCCAACTCTTTGTTTTCCTGAGTGATATTATTCTTCTCGTCAATAGTTTTAGTTTCAACGTCAGCTTCCGGACACTCAGAAGAACTATTTGAAAAATGACTGATATTAGATGAAACTGAATCCTGCTTTCTAGGACTAATAGACCGTCGCTTTTGGGGATGATCACGCTCCCCCTCGATTCGAGCAGGATCAATTTTTCTCTTAAGGTATTTTTCACCACTGCCACTCCTACAATTATGTATATCTTCATGATTTGGCCCATCAGAACGTTGCGAAGCGGACAACCTTGAAGCACGAGATCGTCTATGACCTTCTGGAAGCACAAAAGGAGGAATCTGCCTTCTACGAACATGAGAAACAAAGATTTCCATTCCTGGTTTCCAGAACATGTACGTATTTATATAATGCTTGAATTCATCAACTGACGAACGTATATCGAACTGCTGGCCTTCTTGAATGACCTCTCCCTGCTTCCTCTGCAGACCCATGAAAAACGCACAATGGGCACATGGCTTGGATGTGTCAACATATTCATGAGGATACGGATGACACTGTAACTTCCCTTCTGTCTTCCTCTCAATCTGCAGACAATTACAGAAACCATGGGCAAAGGGAAAATATTTCAATAACCTGAAATTTTAATTTAATTCAATAATAGAAATGCTTTCATGTTGAGAAAAAGTATTATCATCACCATGTTTCATTTAAATGTAGAAAGATTACCAATAATGTCAAGTGCCTAAGCCGAGATTCTACCCATCCTTTCCAACTGCGTAGATCGTCTGCATCAGCTGCTACTATATCAACTTGCAAATAGTTTTTGTAGCTTTCAAAGAACAAATATGGCTCAAAAAGAGAACTCCACAGCGCTTTATTCAGCTCAATTTCCTAATAAAGTGAAATAACCACAAATAATTAAAAACTGAAATGCTGCCATAAGTACAGAAGAACAGGAGATGCCTTCTGTACACTTAGTATCCTCTATCAATTAATAATCATGTAAAAAAAAGCATGCATGCACACAGCATACCTCACAAACTTTATTACCAAACTGGAACTGTTCCATCATAACTCGGAGCGTACTTGTAGAAACATTGTAGCTAGAATTCATGCACGGATATGCAGGAGTTATAATGGGCATATGATGAGTTCTATCGCGAGGATTTTTACGAGGATCCCATATAGAACACCCAAGATCATCCTCCTCAATTGCACACAACATAACAGGGTTCGGCCAACGCCACAGGGTGTAAACTCTGAAAAATCGAGACAATAGCATACTGGGTACTGCATTTGGATAAAGCTGACACACTCGTGCTACAAGAAGTGCCCAGTTTACGCCACCAAGAAACCCAGTCACCTGTTCAAGTGAGTAGAGGATTACAGAAGGAAACAAATTTATCAACTAAATCAGCCATATACACACAGTAATAAGAGGCAAACTCACATTTGAATAAACACCACGCCTTTTGGCCCAAAACTTCAAGCACCTAAGTGCAGTTCGAAAATTCTACGAACACAGGATAAGACAAATGTTGTAGTTACCAGACAGGAATGTTTGGGGTAAAGAATTTCACAAAAAGGGCGCTGTAATATAGAAAACCACTCACCTCAATATTTGGAACAAGTTTTAGAATTTGATCAGCAACCCGACAACCATTAAGACTTCGAACAGTAGGCTCATCAACATTATACAGCACAGACACATCAGAGATATCCAAATCCTGAAAGTAAACATACAAAAAAAAAAAAGCACAATCTTCACATCCATACCACGAACATGAACATGATGCTAAAACAAACAATCCATTATATTCAAAAGCAATACAATTAGGCAATGTTCTCCGACAAGATATTGAACAAGAATCATCTGTCACTTACTTCAGGCACAACCAGACGAGATATACTAGCATAAAGTAGGTCAATAGATATTCCATCAAATTTGAATTTCATCACTGGGACATGAGCATCAGGAACAGGCTGCAACTCGGACACTTCTTCCATTTCTTCCAACATATTATGTAATAAATAAAAGAAATCATCCTAAAAAAAAAAAAAGATGTAAGATTAGATCCCCAATACTAAAACATCTCAAGTAAGAGAACAAAATTACTCAAACCTAACACTCACCTCCCTGTTCACATAAGATGGCCCAACACAGAGTGTGTCTATGTCAGCTCCAGGTCCATGCACCTACAACAATACAAATGCATGCAACTACTAATTGACAAGTACGGAACAAATGCAAAACAGAATCACAATAAGGTATGTAAGACATGAAATCACAAAAGGAAAGAAAAGGCAAGCATTTCATATTTTCAATGTTATAGAGGAGTTACAAAGGCTTTGGGATGAGGGGCAGCTGCTATTCAATAATTGCTTAGAAGATGTAATTTATGAGACCAAAATGTTGTTCTTGCAAAAAAAAAAAAAAAACTGCTAGGTCTCAGAACTATCTGTCGAGGGAATGCCAAAATATAGCTATGCTTACCCCTAGACGATAGGAGCCAAAAGTGAAGATCACCGCATTTGCATCCTCCACCATTTGATCCGTATAACCTTTAATTCGAGTAAGTTGCTTTACCCAGTCTTTAACAATCTAGAGATGGGAAATAGAAACACGGCACGAGTTAGAAAGATTAAATATAGGACAATCTAAGTATAGCTTGGTAGATAAAGTCACTAATTACTATCTCAATGTTTGATGGTTCCATCCACCACCTTCCAATTGTTAAATTTTGAAAAGAAAAAAAAAAGATCAACTTCTGCTGCAATTTGCATATCCCACCTTGAAAACTTCAGAGCCATCACATGAACAATATACTATCAGGAAAATATCATCTGAGAAACTAATGTGATCATCAATTACTCTATAATTCATCATACATGTCGCCAAACATATCTAACATTATAGACATAAGCATCAAACTTCTGTTTCTAATCGAGGTTGTGCAATACCTTTTTTCCCTCTAAGCTAAGTTCTATCACTAATTGAAAACTCTGGTCTATCGTCAAATATGAAAGGAAACTAAAGGTTTTGTTCGACAGAATAAAGTTCATAACCTGTCCTATCCGGGAAAGAACCTCTTCTCTCTTGGCAGATTCCTCTTTGCTTTCGTACAAGCCAGCATCGACCAGAAACTATTTTCACAACAAAACAAAATAAAAGAAGAAAGTCAACCAACATATTACCGAATCATGCACTAAAAGGGAACCACAATTCATAGATAAAAACCTTTTCAAGCTCCTTGTTTCTTTGCACGTCAGTATCAGAAGGCCCCGCCACCGATATAGGCTTCGTCACACCACAGCACTTGGGCACCGCTTGATTAGCAGGTAATGGTGAATTAACCAACCCCTCTGCTCTCCCCATCACGTATCGCAAAGAAAATCGAAGGCTCCCCGCGAAAAAAAAAAACCTTAAAATTGGAGAACAACAATCTAAAATCCTCAACGAACGAAACCGAACCGAAATCCCAAGTCACCAAAGATCAGACCCTCATGAAACAAGAAGAAATCGACACAGAAATCTCTAATAGATTCAAGCCCTGGTGGTTTTCCTTCGAAGTCGAAAATTCCAAAAATGCAGATCGCGTATGGAAACTGAAAAGAGAGTAGCCAGATATGGAATTTTGATCAAACGAAAAGGGATTGGGGAAGAAAAAACAAAACAAAACAAAACCCCAATTGGATTTAGAAATACCAAAGGAAATTGCAGGAAGATGAACGCATAAGAGAGAGAAAGCCGAGGGAAAATCGTCGTTTAAGAATTTAGGATCGGTGCGGCCGTGTGGGTGAGAGCAGCGGCGGAAACTTGATAATTTCTAATTTCTTTTTCCTTTTATTCTTATAATCAATATCCGAATAAATAAAGGAATGTATTTATATTTATATTTATATTTATATGTATATATCTTATCCGTTGTTATCAAGATATTGAAATAGTTTTCATATTTAATTTTTTAAAAATTGTATCTGACCGTCATTTAAAAAATATTATTCCTATTATATCTCATTTTAAATTCTAAAATATACAAATAAAAATAATATTTTAAAATAATTTGATTTTTCGTCAGATTTAAAATAATTTAATACAGGAGATATATAAATTAAAAAATTTATCTCCCCCACATTATTTTCGCCTCTGAAAAATTAACTCTATTTAAATTTAAATTTAAATAAAAAAAATGCAACATTAAATTTTGGTTAAATAATAAATTAGACAAATATAAAAAAAAAAATTATGCAAAAGTTAGTAGTAATTTAATAATTAAACTTTTTATTTAATTATTTGTTTAATTTAAGATTTAATAAATGAATAATAATAATGGTATATGCAAATATTTGAAAATAAATATACGCATATTTCCCTTAAAAAATATTTTCCGTTCTGTATTTTAGTTAATACTAAATATTGGATTAATAAATTATTTAATAAAATAAAATGAATTATGTTTTTAAACATAATTTTCGTGACTTTAATTGGATAGATAGATGACAACTGTGAAATACGCGTGACTTTCCCGTGCTTCCGATTATAAAATCATGAAATATCTAGAAAGTTATTTCACGGTGCCAATTGCATGCGGATGAGCCTACGTCATTTAACACATCACTACCACAATTAATTAATTAATTAATTAAATATCTAAAAGTCTTGTTTTTATTTACACTAAATTATTATACATATTCCCTCCCATCTTCTTTTTTTTAATTCTCAAAATTTTTTTTACTAATAATTTACATTTTTTTCATCTAATTTCTATTAAAAAAATATAAAATATTATAATAAATCTAATAATATAATAGTATTTACAATATAATATTTTACACTTAAAAAAACAAAACTATATCTATTTATTTATTATAAAAAATAATCTTGGTCACAATTTTATTAATGGGAATAAATTCTCTATTCTGTTATATGTTTTGTTTGAGGTCGATTTTCACAAATTAAATGGACATTTAAATTTCTGTGCATATAATAAATACGTGTCCATTGATTATCTAAATTTATAAAACTATCTCATAATTTCAGTAAATATTATTTTTTGCTTTGAAATAAATAAATAAATATAGGAATAACCATGTCACAACAGCTCATGATTTTTCTTGAAGAAGATGGGCTTCGGTCATATGGGCCTTTGGGCCTCTTCCAGAATTAATTGAGAGGAGGCCCAGCCCAATTACAGCCCAATTACAGCTCAATTAATAAATTTCTTAACTATTTTCAAATGGTTGGATGTGACATAAAACTACCTCGCTCCAATTTACCTTGGCTTTGACATAACATTTATTGGACAATAATCTTTTATATATAATTTAGCATCATAAAATATCATTTTGTGGCCGTTATTATATTTAGAAATATATGAAATCTCGTGTCGGTTGAAAAAATATGAAAACTCTGCGTAGAAAACATGTTTTAAAATTATGAAGCTGAAACTATACACCAGAGAATTTTTATTAACCATTAGCTTTTAACTCTTACAATATAATTTGTTTTATTTGGTATTTACTTGTGAACATACCCAACATTATTACAGCAGCGTGTTTAGCAATTATTGTTGAATTATATCTTGAAGACCTAATCTACGACTAAATCAATTTAATTTGATCCATTCATTTATTGAACTATTTACTAAATCAATTTCATTGTAAAGCCCGAACAAGAGACCTACAAATGCTTCTGCTACTGTTTTTACGAGAACAGTAACAATATTTTTAAACCGACCATGTTTTTATTCGGCTATTACTCCTTTATATTTATAACCAACCAAATACTTCTCAAACACATTTTCCAAAAAATAAATAATTATATAGATTTTTCTATAAAAAAAATAAATAAATAATGAAAATAAATAATTTATATTTCAAAAATAGAGTTCACAATTTAACTCAAGAATTCGAATAACGAAATTGAGTTTACAACCTAACCTAATCTAACCCAACTCAATTCAACCCTTCATTATTTTTTTTGTTACTGACTTACTGTCATCATTCCAAATCAGAGTTTACGAAATTAAAAAAAAAAAATAACGAATATTCATGAGCTACAACATACCATCAAAATCAGCTATAAACGTCAAATATTCTTAATATTAAAAAAATAAAATAGGACAAAGTTGATAATAATTTTGTTTTCGAGAGGATCAGGTTGACTCAACGAAAAAAATGTCTAGATTTAAACGCGAGTTTTCCAAAAATCTAACAAAATTCAATATGAGAGTTGTAAATCCACGTCATTATCAATATTAATTTCTGACAAGAAAAAAATAATTTTATTAGAAAAAAAAATTAATTTATTCGTTAAATTTAACGTTGCTCCCGACAATGAATGAGATCTGTGATGTCCATTCAAAATTTGAAATAAGAATCTGTGTGAGTTTGGCCACAATATTCTTTTCCATTCCAGAGTTAGCTTACAATTAATTAAAACAAAAAAAAAAATATATATATATATATATAGAATTTCAAATCCCAAAGACTCCTTTTTGAATCAATTCATCATTTTCGTTCCTATTTATTACACTCGTTTTCGAAGCACACCAATTCAAACAATAACAAGCCCAAAACGAAGCTTAGAACACCATAGCTCTGTTTCTATAAGCCGTACCCATTTGCAGCCTTGTACCTCTCCAACCTTCCTTTTTTCCCTTTTACAACAAGGAAACACACAAAACTTTCAAAATCTTTTGGTTACAAGATTCAATATACAATCACGGGGTTGTCTTTTTCAAGTACACGTTGCTCCAAAAGGCTAGAGAGAGAAAAACCAGAGTACTCTGTTTTTGAGAGAGAGAAAAACAGAGTGCTCTGTTTTTTTAGAGTGAGAAAAAAACCGAACAGAAAAGGTTTTGTGGGTTTTTTGGGATTCTAAGATTACCCTTTGGAGGAATTGGACATTTTATTGAATTCGACAAGGTGGGTTGGTTTGGTTTGGTTTGATGTTCTTCCTATGAGATCCATGTTTTCAAGTTGTTGTTTTTGTCTGTAATTGTTGTTGTTCTGTTTTAGGAATCGTTTTTTGAAAGCTTAAGATTTCAAAAATTGTTCCCTTTTTTTTTTTCCTCCTCAGCTTTGTATGACGTCGTTTTGTCTTGTAACGAAGTTTTTTTGGGCTCACGAGATGCTGTCAGAAGCATTTTTCTTTTCAAAAATCCCTAAATCTCTCTCTGTTCTTCTCTGTTTTTTAAAATGTTTTTCTTTTAAGATGCTTTGTGTTTGCCAATCCATACTGTTTCTTAAGCCTCTTCTCTGTCTGCAACATGTTGAGTTTATAACAGATCTTCATCTCTGTCACACTCTCTCATTAAATCAATCTCTCTTTCTCTCTCTAGCTTTCTCTCTCTCTTATGGGATTTTTATTGCAGTAATCTTTGGGAAATGGGTTTTTTTCTAGTTCCTAAGTGCTAAAAATAGACAGTTTGAGCTTCTTCTAGTGTCAATAAAACCCTCTCCATCGGAGATTTTGACATAATGCTTACGTTTTTTTAGCCTGTTTTTCTCTCTCTAGGATCATCATTTTGAGTGGAGGATTTGTGTTTTTCTCTCTCTAAAATGGGGAAAGCTACCAGATGGTTGAAGGGTCTACTAGGGATCAAGAAAGAGAAGGACCCATCTCGGAATTTGAATTCAAATTCAACGGCGGTTGTTGGTGACAAAAAGGAGAAGAAACGGTGGAGTTTTGCGAAGTCCGGTAGAGATTCCGGCCAAATACAGCCTCCGGTGGAGGCGACTTGGTTTAGATCCTACATTTCTGATTCAGAGAAAGAGCAGAATAGGCACGCAATTGCGGTGGCTGCTGCTACCGCTGCTGCAGCTGACGCCGCTGTTGCAGCGGCTCAGGCGGCGGCGGCCGTCGTCCGGCTGACAAGCCAAGGCAGAAGCTCTGTGTCTGTCACCGGAAGAGATAGATGGGCGGCGGTGAAGATTCAAACAGTTTTTAGAGGCTATTTGGTAAGTAAAAACAGCTTCTTTTTTCTCTGCTGTTCATAATCAAACAGGAATAATTGATTTTTTGTTCCATTTCTGAAGGTTTGTTCTTGTTAATGTTTAGGCTAGAAAGGCGCTTCGAGCTCTCAAAGGGCTCGTTAAATTGCAGGCTGTGATTAGAGGATTTCTCGTAAGAAAACGAGCCGCTGCAACTCTTCACAGTATGCAGGTTCTTTTTAGAGCTCAAACTGCAATTAGGACACAAAGAGCTCGTCGATCTTTCAACAAAGAGAATCGGTTTATCCCCGAGATTCGACCCCGAAAATCTGCAGTAAGTTTTGATATGGAAAGCTAAATGGTTATGAAACGAGCGTTAGTGTTAGTCGTTGTAATTTATTTGAAATTTTCAGGAACGGTTCGATGAAACAAGGAGTGAATTCCATAGCAAGAGGTTATCGGAAACACCCTCCATGAATTCAATGGATGAGAGCCCAAAAATCGTGGAAATCGACACCTACCGAACTCGATCATCGAGGTCACGTCGATACATTTCCGCATTCTCCGAATGCGGAGGAGACGATGTAGCTATCTCATCTTCACCATTGCCATGTTTGAATCGACCTTGCATCATCGATTACCACAACAACATGGTTCAAGACTTCGAATGGTGTTTGATGGGCGAAGACTGCAAGTTTCCTACAGCGCACAGCACGCCACGACTATCGAACAATTCATTCGCCTCGACCAACATGCTGGTCACGCCATCGAAGAGCGTGTGCGGGGACAGCTTCTTTAGGCCATACATGAACTACTACCCGAATTACATGGCGAACACGCAATCGTTCAAGGCGAAATTGAGGTCACAAAGTGCACCAAAGCAAAGGCCAGAGCCTGGGTCAAAGAAGAAGCTGTCATTGAATGAAGTAATGGCAGCAAGGAACAGCTTAAGCAGTGTAAGAATGCAGAGACCAAGCAACCAAATGGTTCAAATGGTGGAAGAAGAAGAAGAACAAATTATGGGGTTTGAGTGATTTGTAAATTCCTTTGAATCAAAGCTTTGAAGTTCTGAAGATCTTTGAATGTGTGATGATTTTATAACTCAAAAGCCCCAAAAAAGTGAAGAAAAGGGACACTTTTTTTTTGAAGTTTGTCCACTTTTCAAAAATTCAAATCTAATATCAGCAAGTGAAATACCAAAAATACCCTCCATTGTCCACCGAAACTACAACTTTCTCCGGTGGGTTCGTGAGTTGGGTTTGGTCGAATTAATATATATTTTTCAGATTCAATTCAATGGTTCGGGGATATACACTTTTTTAATATATACTTTTTAGATTCAACCCACTTGTTCATCCGAGGACCATAATAAGATTTACAAGTCGTTTTACGGAAACTCAGCTTGACAAACGGTTCGATTATTCAGGATGTCCTGTGATTGCTGTAAGTCCCTCACTTTAATTTCAACCTAATCTAGCTAATACATCAATATTTTCATTTATTTAAATTCAATTCAATCTGGGTGATGGATTTCTTCGGATCATACTATAAAAAACTCATTATCTAATTATATAAGATTAGGCCTCGGGGTTTGTATTTTTTGAAGGGGGCATGTGGCAACCACTAAAGATAGGATTTTGTTGTTGTGATTAGTGAATTTGAATGTAAACAAATCAAGATTATGGTTTGATTTAGAAGTGATTAGTTCAAGAAAAGTGGGGCACACAAATAATGATTATTGTAATTATAAACATTAGCCTTTATAATTAATTACCACTCAATTCATTAGCATTAAGGCCCATCCACCGGCATGCCTGAGCAGAAAAGAGCAGAGCAGAGCATAGCAGAGCAGCCCACAATGGCATGCCATCAGTATTAGATTTTTTTTTTTTTTTTTTCTTTCCTTTTTTTAATTTTTATTTTTGAAATTTGAAATCATGAGAGATGTTGATAGCGAAGGAGAATGAATTTGCATTGTATTTCTTTATGAATAACTTTTTACGAATCTTTATGATACTAAATTTAAATATTTATTCACGTTTCTTTTATCAGAAAGCACGTATTTATTCACGTTTCTTCTATTAGGAAGTACATTTGCCTCGTGTAAGAGGTCGTTATCTAAAAAGAAAAAATGATAAGATCACAAGTTTTCAAATTCGAGTCGTGGGTTTTAAGGGAGATTGAAACTCTCACTCTCAAAATAAATATGATTTTAATGAGTGAAAGAGAAAGCATTAAAATGTAATGTATGGCATTTAAGGTGGGATAGGAATTAGTGATAAGAATCACGGTCGTGTTCTAAATGGACCTATTGGTAAGAAGATTCAAAAAAATATGTCAACAGCAGAATTCAAACTTATCGCACTAGTCACTCAAGCACATCAACATTTGTAAAAAAGAACTATGTTTAATTTCATAATTTATGTAAGGGTCAATTTTACTTATTCTTCTGTAGAAATGTTTCCCTTAGAAATTTAATTTCATAATTTATGTAATGGTCAATTTTACTTATTCAGAGATGTTTCCCTTAGAAATCCGAGCTCATATTTGTCATTCAAGCCACTATTGTGTAGAATTACACTCGAGCCATTCAATCAGCCTTGATCGAGTTAGATTGCATATTTTTGTGAGTGAAAGGGGATCGAGACTAATTTATGTAAAAGTTAAATGGTCAATTTTACTTTTTGTGAGATTCGAGGGGATCGAGAATAAATCCCGTCCACAAATGTCTTTTGTCGGGAGACTAATTTTATAATTTCTAAGTTTCGACCCTTTTACAGAAATCCAATTATCATATTTGCCATTTCTAAGTTTGACTCAATTTAGAAAGTTTAAAAAAGTTCATAAATCTTGTTTCTACTTAATAGGTAATCTAATTCGATCTTAATAGATAATCTAATTATAACGTAATCTCTTGGTTGATTTACAAGGGTAATCTAATTTTTCTAGCCTTATCTCTTGGTTAATGATACCACTTGACACAATCGCACTTTTGAAGGCAGCGGACTAGTGATTGTGTGGCACTCACTTTCCAACGAGAAGTGAGCTAATGCCTACGGCCAAGCGACGTATGATCAAGCCAACCTCGATTTTAAAAGAAGGTTTTAGAAAACGAGGGCAGAGAGAAATTTTAGAAAGAGAGATAACAACGACTTGCAATATATATATAACCCTAGGTAGGGAGAAGTAATCTAATTAATCTAATTCTGATTCTGAGGTAATCTAATTAATCTGACTCTAGCCTTATCTTTGATTCTTATTCTTGCTTCAACAAATTCTAGCCTTATCTATAATTCTTATTCTAATATGAATCGTTTTATTGAGGATTAGAGTTGTCTTATTAATTGGGGTATTTGAGTAAGTCACCTATTTACTTTATTTGGGTAACAAATTTATGTACAATATTCAATATTCAATCTTAAAGTAATATTATAAATATTAATAAAATAAAACTTAATTTTACACAAAAGTTTATAAAGATGGGATGAAGCCTTCCTTAAATTTATTTAATGAAATGGAGACAATGTAGCTTTATAAGAACGATAGATGTGTATTTCAAAATTGCATGTCCTTAATAACTATTAGATAGACTGTTAGCCCCATTTAATAATTTTTTCAAAAAGAAATAATATGGTAGGAATTTGAATGGGTGAGAGAGAATGCTTTGGAGCCCTGAAAAGTTTTTGAAAAGGGTAAGAGGCCAAAACGGAATCTAAATTATTCAGTGGGCTTCCATTCCTAGACCATTCCCCCGGGTTGATTTCTCATATTCTACTCTCACTCAGAGATAGCGTTTGTCGGGAAAGGTCTAGGAAGTCTTTTATTAGATACAAAATCAAGAGTTTAGAAGCCACTAGATACTTAGGATCAAGAATCCGTTACATAAACTTAAAAGTCACAATGACAAGTCGGGCATGAACAAAATAGGTAGACCAAGAACCAAATCATCTCAACATGAATTATTCTCTCCTTTGAAGGAGTATTTGAGATAACTCATAACATTGAGAAACTACAGAAACTGGTAAGGAAACTCATGGATATTGAACGAGGCACATAGCTCGCGAGATTAATTATATGAAATGAGAGATGGAATGGAAGAAAGCAACCAAAATCAAAATTGGTAAAGCAGAGGAGGAGGAGGAGGAGGAGGAGACAAGGCTTACAAACCCTGTTCGATCAGGTAATCTCCCAACCTTTCAACAACCATATTGCATTGTCCCGGAGTTACAGGTTCATCATAGATTCCAACAATCATAGCTTTCTCAGTTTTCTTCACAGTAACTCCGCCAGCGCCCTATTCAACAACCAAATTAACCCACACGCATTCAGTAACCATGTACTACAAGATAAGCTACATAAACAAGATGGTACTCAATCCCTCAAGTCATGTTGGATCAACACTGAAATGAAAAACAAATATTTATTTGTAATTGGTTTTTCGTTTTGTTTTAGTTTCGGTTTAAGGCAGCGGAAAACCAACCTTTTTCCCACGAACAACAGCTCCAGGCTCTCCCTGGATAACCATGTACTTAGTGCCACCAAGGTGTAAACCAGTTGGGGCAAGAGAACCAGGCTCATCAAAATCCTTCATAATCGCCGAAATCTCCTCCGGCTTAAACTGCATTAAGTAATTCCCAAACAAATTAAATTATTAATGGCAGAATTAAATGTCTCCTGAATGTTATAATCAAGAGGAAAATGGTCCTTGTTCTAGAATAGTGTTTATTTGGTTCTTAAATTTGAAAGTGTTCCTTGCTTACTTTTTCATCCTTGATAGGCTTGTATTTTCAAATACTGAATCAAATAGAAACAAAATTCAGTACGAAGATATAAACTGGAAGGAAGATTAAACTTAAAACATAAAATTGTTAAAATTTTCAAACGATCCAAGGAACAAAAACGTTCTCTAAACCAGATTGAATTATACGGCTTGGCGATGCAAAATCCAGCGATCACATTGATATCTGCATAAATCTACCACTACAATGGAAAAAATAAATAAATAAAAGGAAAATCGAACACGTCAAAGAATGCAATTCTTCACTAAATTATTAATCACGAACTTGCGTTAACATCGAACCTTGCGCTCGATGAGTTCCTGATCTTAAGCCAAGAGATTATGATCAATCAGTTTAATCCAAAGAGAGAAAAAGAAAATCAGACATTCCTCTTCATGCATCACTCCAACTGATAATAAATACGAATCGAACAATAAATCGTACGAGTTCAATCTCCGCTCAAAATATCAAATCAAACAACAGAGGTGGCTCTCCATCTAAATCTAATTCCATACCTCTCGCAAGACAAAAACTCAAAATCACGATACAAAACAAAACGTTCGTTGTAGAGCCAGATCGGATCAAATTTCTCTCAACAAGAACGATAACGTAACAGAATCACACAAACAACAAACGTAATCGAAAATGACAATCACCTGAGGGAATGAGGCACTCTGCGCCCAAACACTACCGTCGTGTCCAATGATGGCGGCGGAGGTGAGATGGTTGCCTTCAATCTCACACATAAGGTGATCGTCGACATACGTTTGCCACGACATTTTTCAACCTTCAAAGTGGAACTTGGAATTTCGAATCGCTTCAAAAAAAAAAAAAATCTCCGTTCAGGTTTTCTTTTTCTTTCTTCTTTTTCTCTTCAGTCTCCGAAGTGGGTATGGCTTTGAGGTATAAATAGTTGGAATAATAATAAAAATAAATAAATAAATAAATAAATAAGGAATGAAACGAACTGTGACCCGGCTCTGAACGAGGCCGTTATGGCAAAAGGAGTGGCTTTCACGTTCACCATTCATTACCAATTTTCAAAAACAAAGAAAAAAAAAATCATTAAAATCTTAAATTAATAATTTTCCATAAACAAATTCAGATCCGTAATTCACAATTGTTTTCTTTTAATTTTATTTAAAATCACAATTAAATCATTATTCTTCTAACATTCTTCCAAATTAACAATATATATAATTTTTATTAAACAATTTAAAAAAAAAAAGAAAGAAAGTAAAAAAAAAAAAAAAAAAAAAACGTTCTAAATTTGGGAGAAGAAAAACTAATGGCTTTGAGGGTATGAAGAACTTACAGCCTCTCCCGTGAGATGATTCAAGACAGCTTCTTTTCTTTCCATACAATG